TTTTTTTTTTTTTTTTGCATTATTGTACGGGAAACCTCATTTAATATAGTGGCTGGCCTTTCAAGAAGCTAGTGCCTATGTGGAATGATCTGTACTTTGATGGCCTTTATACCAGCGATTCTTATATTTTATGGTGTTTCAGTATTAGTAGTGTGCTTAGTTTGTGGGAGCTGCTGCTGGAATGGGGCAGCTAAAAAGCCCACATAAGACGCATGGCACTGTATGCTTTGGACGTTGGCCTCTTTTCATTCATTTTTATTTGAATCTATTTTAGTACTAATAATACTAAATCAGTTTGGTGCCTCCTCTGCATATTTTTTTACTTGTACTAAGATCAGCATGAAGAATATGAGCCTATGGCCGAAACATAGTTTTGTATCTTATATAGTTTTTTAACTATATAAAAATCATATACATACATACGTACATACATACATACATCTTAAAGCCCCCCCAACATCCTATAATATAACCAGTTAATTGCATCATATGTTACTTCCAGTGAACAATTACAACTACTTGTGATGCACTTACAAATGGAGAATTGTTTTGCAAAAATACCAAAATTTAGAATTTCAGTTAAAATCAAGCACCTTAAACACCAACTATATATGATTGCCCTAGTTATTCAAAGTACGTAAAATTGTCCCCCATCCCTAAATATAAAATGAAATTACTCAGCCCTTCAAACTTTGAACTCCTGGAATCTTATTCACTGTCAGTAAATATATGTCATTAATTTCAGTAGCAACAGATTAAGGTATAAGTTCTGAACCGACTTGGTGGTGCTGATAAGTTTTACTTTATTATAAATTTTGTGACTCAATGTGGCTGAATTGAATTTATGTGGTTTTGCTCATTAGTTAGAACTAAACAAAAGGGTATTCTCCAGAAAATGGCACCATGATACTCAGAGTGGATCTACTTCATCATAAGCTATTTCTGATAGTCTAAAATTCTGAGAGGTGTTTATGTGCAAAAGGAATCATAATAGCGGACTGTATTTTCTTTCAGTTCAAAAATTGGAATTAATCTTTTGATTAAGCTGTTAAACTCAATTGCTAACCATATGCAAACCCTCCTTTCCTGAAATTATTTCTAAATTTTCTTCCTTTTATTCAAATATTTTTTAAAATTACAAAGTTATATATGCTCAGTCAGTCCTAATTGAATGTTATGTGCAATTTTCACTTATCAACCACCAGAGGGCAGGAAGGACTATTCAATTATTTTCCCAAAATGCTAGCCAGTATTTTCAAATTAGCTTCCTGTGTCTTAACAAAAAGGAGTATAATGGCTGAGTTATTGTTTGATTTACAGATAATTGGCATATTGCGTGAAGGAGACTTAATTTCATCCTTTAAAATTAAACAGTGAGATTTTAAAAGATATAAAATATTCATTAATGTGCAGTGATTATAAAGCAGTGGCATATATTTATTTTACCTTTATTACTGTTTCGATGGGAAATACTGCAAATACTTTGGAAATCGAGTTAGCCATACTGACAAGTTGAAATGTTTAAGCAGCATTAACGCAATCTACTTGCACCTGATAGCCTATGCAGAAAGATTCAAAATGTCTGCATCAATTATTAAAAGAAACACTTAATATTCTGGAAATGTTTCAGGTCTTACCACAACTATTGGATATAACTATCTCTCCTGGTTCTTTGACTTAGGTTGTTTAAGCATATTATATTGCTGCAGTGCTTGCAAACAGTACTAATAAACCTTTATTTTTTTCTTGTCTTTTCCAAACAAAATTGTGTCATAAACATTTTGCAATGAACTAGTGAAAGATATGTTAGCTTAGTTAATTTGAAAGGACATTATTTTGCTGGTTTCAAATCTGTGGATTTCTGAATGAAATGTGCATTGAAAAGCTGCTAAAATAAAGAGAGATGTTTTTTAAAAAAATTACTTCTGATCTAAATAAGAATAACAGATTGATAAAGAAATTAGGGAATATCTTCATGAGGGTTGCTTTTTCTTGCAGTTTGGACTATGGGGGTATAAACAGAAAGTCAGCAACCATATAGTTTTTAAAATAAATATAATAAAGGAGAGTTAACATGGTAGTATTGTGGATGACAGACTTTGTAGCATTGCTGATGCTGAATTGAAGTGTGAAACTAGCTGAAAATTCAAATATCTGTTGATGGATGCTTTTTTGTTTGAGAAATCCCTCAAGTACAGTACAGGCTTGTAATTCAAAATTGAAACCACATATTATGTTCCTGTCATCCTATATCCTTTCTTTCTCTACCCCCCCCCCCCCCACAACAGCCAGGTTTAAGATAGGCTGAACTTGAACTGTTTTTTTGTGGTATTATTTTTTATTACCTTCTCTCCCACTAATACAATCGGATTTAAAGCATAACTCATGAATATAAAACAGAAGAATGAATGCAGAGTATCTTCCCCTTTTGTGAACCTTTCTAAAATGGAATTAAAATGGGGTGAAGAACGTAAGAGTTATTACCAAAC